TCCCCACAGTGAAGGTAAAAAAAAAAAAAACAAATATTCATACTTTTTACAAGGAGACTGACAGCCAAAGGAATACATTTTCCATTTTTAGTGCAAGTTCATCACCCAGCAATGGAAACTTGCACATTGTAATTCTGAGGTAAATATGGTCTTTAAATTACCAAGCAAGACAGGACATAACCAGACAAGACAGCATAAGGAATACATACCATGCCTTGTCTGTTCAGTAAGTTCTCCTGTTTTCCTACTCTGCTAGCACAAGTGCTTAACTTCCAGTTTTCAAGTTTTGTGAAAGATCTATATATCTGGTATGGGGTGCTTTGGTTTTGGTTTGCTTTGTTTTTTTTTATACCTGCAGTGAAGCAACCAAGGTGGAGCAGCAACACATGTGAAGCCATCAATGCTGTGGCTTTCACCCTGATCATTTCTGGTTATCTTCCTACCTCACCAATGGATGGCGTGCACTCATGAAAGCACTGCATAACTCTGGATTTCCTTCTTCAACTTCTTAATTGCAAACTAAAATGAAACTTCTTTTTCCAACTTCTCTCTTTAAAAAAACAAATCCTTAGTGCTTTTTCTTCAAAGCATTCAGAGAAAATCAGCTGGACAGAAAATAAAATCACATGTCTGAGTCTGCTTCAGCTACTTTCCTGAAGCAATTCAAAACAATCGGTGAGCCAGAGTACTTTGATACCAGTCAGACACACTTGGCCCCAGGAGCAGCTCTTCATATACTACTCTGCGGAGGCAGGAAGCGACACAACCTTTCCTGGGCCGGAGAGAAGGGTGGGTAATAGTGAGTAATAAGATGAATCCCAAATTATTTCTCCCAATCTCCAAGCCTCTCACAAAGTTTGTTATTAAGCCACCAAAACACACAAGATTGGAACTTTCTTAGCCAAATGGAATACAGCAAGATACTGGAGTTTTGGCCCAAACAGGATGCAGTGCTGGAGAATTTAACCACAAAGACTACGGCAGAGCTGCAGGTTAATATGTTAAAACACTACTGTAGCACTGAAAGACAAAAATAGCAACACACATTTTCCAGAAAGAAATACAGAACATTTACACCTAAAGTATTCAAGATCTATCAGGCAGCACATTCTCCTTTAATTTACAATTAATACATTCACAGTAAAGAACTTGTGCCTTAAGTTTGAAGTTTACCATTTAAGTACTGGTCTGCGAGTTGTTACTCAGCAATGAAACTGCAATACGTATACTTTTAGGAACAGTCTTAGGTTTAGAAAGCTTCATAAATAAATATTGTTACTGCAAAAGCAAATATGTAGGTTTGAAATATCTTTAAAAAATAAAAATTGTAATGTTCATTAGAAAAAACTTAAAACTCAATAAAAACCCAAACCAAAACATATTAAAAAGCACAATATTGACATCTCAGAAAGTTACTTTAACAACCTCCAAAGTAGGTATACTAGACAATACGAACAACTGTGTTGAAGCAGTTCATCATTTTTAATCCACTGAAGATCATACAAATTTTGTGGCATTTTGAAAATCAAATCATCATCATGATTTACCAAATGCTAGTTGATTCACTGTAGCCCACTACAGCATGACAACCCAGTGCCTTGGCATGGGATTTTATTTCTTGTCTGATTTCTGCCCACCATGCATCTCGCGTCTCTGGTTCATCTGAAAGACAAAGGTATCAATCAGTTCACTATTCTGCACTATGTCAACATAAAGTTTCATGCAATTAATCTGAAAAGTCGAATTGTTCATATTCAAATGTATTGTTGTATCTGGACACGCTTTATTTCCTAGCTATCACACTTCAGCAAACCCTAACAGGGCTTTTTCACTTTCTTGTTTGTCACCCATGTGACCAGGTTCTGACAAATTACTGCATTCTTGTTGTTGTCCATATGACAGATAACACCAAAATATTGTAGATACTGTTCCAGTCTCCACCCACTTGAAGACCATACTGTCAGTTTCCAACAACACGAGAGCAGCATGTAGCTTTCAACAAAGCATTACAAACACTCTGTGATATTGAAAAACTAGCATTAGAAGTAAGGAAACAGTATTTGTAGTAATAAAGTAATATTTTACTTTGGTACACACTTGACATCTTTGAAACAACCTCAATAGTTTTTCCTACTGCAAGCAGTTCTGTCAACCAGATTTTAAAAATATTTGTCCAAGACTATCACTAACCAAATACACAGCTCTGTGATCCTTATTTCAGGGCTTCCAACTTTGAGACGCTATATGTATTTGAAACTATTTCTGCATTAACCACACTAAGCAGTACAAGATGTATGCTGACTATGTGTTTCTCGATGCTTTTCTCCTTCAGTATCCTGGCAACCACACCTCTTCTCTCTCCCCCTCCAATGGATTCTAATCACCTTTACTGTCTTTGAGGTTGTATGTTAAAATTTATCGTAACTGCTTTTCTTGCATACTACATTAAAAATCAAAGAGACTGCTACTAGAATAAGTTTATGCAATCCATTTATTTTAACTGTTCAGCAACTAGTTTCCCAAAACTAAAGCTCGTCTCATGAGCTTTTTACATATGAAGTCAACAAGTATTGTCATTTACAATTAGTTTGTCGACTATTTCTTCTTTCAAAATGGCTTACCTGTACCAATGAACTTAGTTGAGAACTATGTTAACTGCTCATACACAAAATAAAGGGAAAAACAATAACAAACAATAGGCACTAAGATACTACAAAGTGTTCTGAGCATAGATTCTTACACAATTTCCCTGAAATCAACTGAACTTTGCTCAGACTTCTAGCAATTGAGATCTCCTTGCTGAATTATAATTTAAAATATCAATGTCAAAACCTGAGATTTATTTGGAACCAATTTTTTACTACCAGGAATATTTATAAGTATAGCATATGATAACCCTTTATCATACACTAGGTTCTCTGACAACATGACAAACAAAAATGAAAGATGCATATATACGCATACTTTGAAATTTACCGAAACAAGAACATTGTACAGCAAGATGTATTCATTCATGAATTTACCTCAACTTTTCATTTAGAACTAAGCTTCCAGCTTTCTAAAATAAACTAATGATCATTTTTAATTTGAAAAAAGAGCAGAGGTACGTATATCCAACTATACCTAACTTTAGATGTTAATTCTTGTGTAACTCCTAGCATTGCACTAACAGCAGCCTTGAGTGTCCAGGTTGAACTTTACGCAACCTTTAAGAAATGAACACTGAAAAGAAAAAAAAAACCTACAGTGATAGTCCTTCGAAAGTTTCTCTGCAATCAAGACAAAAATATACACATTAAGACACAAAACAGACTAAGGATTTTTATGAGCTGTATCGATCATGTTCCCTTATATCACAGTTCACCTTCAGTAGATTTCAATGCATTACTACCAGAATCTCGAGGATAGCACTTCGCTGTCTCTTACCATGAAAACAGTGTTTAAACATTTTCACTGACTGGGAAAATCAAATGCTCGAGATAATACACAGTAGTCCTGACTCAGACGGTTGGAGTACCTGCTAGCAAGGTCTCCTACTTTTCAGCTTTCAGAAGCCGACAATCATGCAGAAATAACCCATCACATTGTAGGGGTGGAGTTCCCAAGCTCAGCTACGAGAATCATCTGTGGTACACAAAGGAAAGTGGGAGGCGAAATGTCTTCTCTTTTGTGTGTGCATCTCTGTCTGAACAGAGGCCGTGATTGCTGCCACCAGTTAACAGCAGTAGTGGTAGGTGAACGAAGCAACTCTGGAAATTCATTTTAAGGCAAAGGCTACAACATCTGACAAAATGGAGAGCTGTATGGGAGATGTGTGACCTCAAGCACATTCTGTAATTATTATCACTAACTGTTCATGGCAGAAGGGACATGGATCTTGGGAGCAATTCCTCCTTCCCCATTCAATCACACACAAGAATTTTGCTTATCAATGTGTGTTTCTCTCTACAACAGGAAAGTGTAAGTAGCAGGAAAAGTGGTTCACTGACTATGCAGAACAATTCTTACTCAAATAAGACGATCACAGGCAGCTCGCTATAAGCATTGACTGAACAGCCACACAAATTTATGTGTTTCCACAGAAAAACACCTGTAAAGGGGAAGCAACCTTCTTCTAGGCATAAACAAATTATACTAAATGATCACTTCTCTCTTCACACCTTTAGGTACCATTTGGGAAAAACTGCTCCTAATTGTCACCTTTCTATGACAAAAAGTGCAAGAAAAGGTGAAGTCATGATGAAGGAGTTGAAAGTGAGCAACAGGTGAAGTGACTGGGGATGAACACTGAAAGTACTGTGCAACAAAGAGTAAGATCACGAACAAGAATATGACACTGAAAAGGTATGCAAACACAGTAAAAATTGAAACAGAATGAAATGTTGAAAGGGAACAGATATGCTTAAGGGTAACAGAAAAAGTAGAATAAGTGACGGGTCCCAAACAGTTAACTGTCCTCCACAAAAAATTTATATTTTAAATTAAAGAACAAGTTCCTAAGAGAGTTAACACAATTTTCTCACCTAACTCATCTACAAGAGCACCCTAAAACAATGAAAAGCACATATTGTTGTGGGATTGCTCAACACTATGTCTTGCTAACACAACATTTAACTCCTTACTCTGAGAATCTGTTCAACATCAGAATTAACAAAGCTATTAACTACAGTAATATAATGGATCATTTTCATTCTTATTAGAGATAAGAACAATTTTCCAGCCATTGTCTTCAGTGTTACCAGGATCGGGCCCAATATATTTCAAAAAATCCAACAAAATCTTATTGCACAAGTTCAAAATTTTCTATACGAGTCATGCATAAACAAGTGTTTCTAGAGAAGACTGGGTCCTCTGCTTAAGACATTTAATTGAGTATTTTTTCTTCCAGAAAAAGGCCAAAGATACGAATCAGTATGTTTATATATAAATACCGTGCATTCATAGTTTACATGAACTTACCTTTGCATATTAAAACACAAAATGATTGTCTACAATTAAAATCAAACACCATGACATTGCAATAATAAATTGATACAAAACACTGAATGCAGTGCAATGTGTAGCATTCATATCCTTCTGACAAATAGTTTCACAAGCAGCCTTTTTTTGACACGAGCCACACAATTTCACATGGGGATGCCATAGTAGCATTTACAAGTTTAGTAAAGCTAAGGATTTACATAAACAATTAGAGGAGTTGGGGAAGCAGGATGGCACGTGTCCAGTACACTCCGTAAGAGTGTCTGTTGTTGTTTTTTCGCTAAGGCAAAAGCTTAGGAACTAAGGGTTTGCAAAGCAGATTGAGCAGACAGTAGCCAGAAACGGTGGGTATTTTGGCGCATGCTTGGATCAGGTGACAGTACAGACTGAAAACTATGGCAGCTCACTGAAATGGTTACAGAAAGTAATGGCCCTGGATTCTAGGTGGAAGCAAAAAGGCAAGCATACATAGCACTCAACCACAAGCTTTTCTAGCGAATCTGAGTAGTTTATAGCGACGTTTATCTATAACTTTAAGCAAAAAAGCCTGCAAAAATTACACTGCTATTATGCGTCATTTATTGGAAACCAACGACTGAATATGCAATCTATTTTTATTAATGTTTCAAAACCGGCATGATATTTATAACAAAGTGGAAGCAAAGCACACTGCTTCTAGAGTTGAAGACTTCAGAAAATGTTGTCAACAGTACAGTATTCTATAAAAATCGTGCCAACTCAAACCTCCTCCAACTGAAACTTTCCAAATTTATTTTATTAAACAGCTTTAGAAGATACAAACAGCACTGTACTTGTTCCATGCCCTAAATGCCAAGTCAGTTCTATCCACCACCAATTCACCTATCTCTTTGCTCCCAAATATGAGATTGACTTCTATGAGGCTTTATCGTCGACAGGACAACATCCTGTCCAAATCTTTCACCTGGAGATAATTCCAGACACTGTCAATACTTTCTAAGTCATAAGAAGCAACATCTTTCCAAAGTCATTTGCTAGAGGTTCACTTGTACAGGGCCTTTCAAGATGTAGCCACAATCTGCATTACATTAGGTCCATACAGATTTTTAAAAATTGAAGAAATATTCAGAAGAACAGTCTCTTGATTACACAGATAGTACTCAAGAGTTATCGTATTAAAGCGGAATCCCTAGGTATCGTGAGACAATTACTCTGAAGTGGGAACTGTATGATCCATTTGAACTTCTTTTAACACTGTATGATTTAGTAAACATTTACATTTATAATGTAACATTCCGAAATGGGGAGGACAATCACACTATGAAAGTTTTCACAATCTACAGATTATTCACTGTTCTGTTGTCTCAAAAATGGCAATGGAGACACCTAATATTCTTTCAGATTCAGTCTCTGAGTCTTTCACTGGGCAGAGTCATTATCCACATCTTCCTTATTCCCTTATTCTTGGATCTTCTTCATTAAAACCCCTTAATCAGCTTACACAGAAAAAGCGTGGGATTTTTTTGCAGGTTGGTTTGGTTGTTTTTTGTAAGAGACACCTTTGGTAGGTTTACAAGCACCCTTCCCTGGACCTTGAAGTTTAATTTAATCCTCTCTGATTATCCCATAAATCTTGAAATTTCCTATCATATTTCTAAAATATTAACAATTAAATAACTGTAAAAAAAGCCAAATCCTGTTGT